CTGTGATAAATCAACATGGATCTGCACTGTCTCCACATGCTATTCAAAGTAATAGCAGAGACTTGAAGTGGACTTTTTTCCTTTCTCCTCTGTCTTTTGTTGTTGTGGTGCTGGTGGTTTGGTTTTGTTTTTTCTATTTCATTTTTTGATCTTGTTTTTATGTGAGTGTAAGCATGGTTTCCAACCTCCTTGTGGTTGTAGATCTTTTTATGTCTTCCTTCTTTCTTTCTCTCCAGTCTTCTTTACCAGTTTCCCAAAGTTAGCATGATCCACCTTTTTCCTCCACCCTTCTAACCTTTTGCTCTTCTTCCACTTCTCCATTTTCTCCCTAACATATTATAAACTTTAACCCCAGAGGGCAAAATTGACATACTAAGAACTTGTATATTACATACACTTTTCTGGTTTGTTTTAGATTTTGTTCTATAACCACAAATCTAGTTCAAACTTGAACTGGAACGTAATTGTTCTAAACAGCTTTCACTCTTGGTATTGCAAGACTGAGATTGAGGATCACAGAAAAATATTGTGGCACTGTGCCAAAGATCCAAGGGCTGAGCCAGATGGCAGCAACTTCTCATCTCCAACAAAATGAAGAGACTGGGTCTTGCAACAGACTCAAAACCCAAAACCCAGCTACACCTGGAAAATACTTTGGAGGACTAGTCATTTCCAGAGGGTTCAGGATACTAGCAATAAAGCAAGCCACCATAGGCAATTTATAACCATCGCCCCAAGAATTAAACTAAAATAAAAGTAAATAGGAAAACACTTAAACAAGATGCAACCCCAGATATCTACTTCACCAAAGGCAAATCCAGGGGGAAAGAGGTGGGACAATTTGCAAGCCACCCACCTGGCCTCTCTAAAGTGGTTAACTACAAGGTAATTTAATGAGGCTTTCAAAAAAAATCAGAAATAATTCTTCAGATAATTGCACACATGGTGCCCACAATGGAACCATGTTTAGTGACTCTAGAACAGACCAAAAAATTGAGGAGTTTAAGAAAATTATGGAAGCCATGACTTCTTAGCACAGGGAAGAAATACAATCCATAAGGCAGATTCAAGTAGATGACTAAGAAAATTATATATATTATATCATAGCAAAGAAAACTTCTCTGGTAGAGAAAAAGAATGTGATATTTAGTTTAGTCAGACATATCAAACTCCAGTTAGCCATGATAAATAAAAACTACCACCAGACATATAATAGTCAGGATTCTAGGAATTCAACATAAGAACAGAATCTTAAAAGATGTTAGGGAAAAGGAGCAAATCATCTAGAAAGCAAAGCCCCTCCGATTCACAGCTGACTTATCAGCACAAACTCTCAGGACAAGGACAGCCTGAAGTATTTCAGGTTATAAAGGAAAACAACCTTCAGCGCAGATTGATGCACCCCACAAAACTATGTTTCAAAACTGATGGAAAGGGGCCAGGGAGATGGCTCAGTGGAATAAGCGCTTCCCTGGCAAGTGCAAAGGCCTGAGCTCAATCTCCGGTTCTGAAAAAAAAAAAAAAGAAAAAAGAAACTGATGGAGAAATAAGATACTTCCATGACAAAGAACATCTGAGGAATTTGATGACCACCAAACTAGCACTGAATGTTTTGAAGGACATTGTAGAATGAGATTTCAAGTACTACAACTCCATGAACCCCAACAGAAGCAATGTAGCAAGCAAGGCAAACAGAAGGAGGAAAAAAATAGGGGTAGCCAACAGGAAAATTAACATGACAAGGATAGGTCAATATATATCAGTTATAACCATCAGTGTTAATGGTCTCAATTCACCAATCAAAAAACAGACTGGCAAAATGGATCAAGAGGAAAGATCGAACATTATGCTACATACAAAAAATACATTTAATTTAAAAAATTCATATAATACAAATCAGAAAGATGAAAAACAATACTCTATGTGACAGGAACTCAGAAAAAAGCACAAGTAGCTATTCTATTTGCAGACAAATTGAATTTCAAGCCAAGACTGATTAAGAGAGAAGAAGAAGGTCACTACATCCTTGTAAAGGGAAAAATCCAAGAGAAAGAGATAACAAATATCAAATACCAGTGTACCCAACTATATAAAACAAATATTAATGGGCATGAAAAGTCAAATAAGCACTAATACAGTTGTACTGGAGCATCTCAATACCCCACTATCACAAAAAGAACTAGACAAAAAAATCAACAATATTAGAATTAAAGCATACTTTTGAACAAATGGACTGAGAAAAGTCCATTTTTCTACAGAGTGTTCTGCCCTACAACAAAAGAGTACACATTCTTCTCAGCTACTCGTAAGTTTCTCCAAAATAGACCACACACTAGCTCATAGAACATACTTAAGTGGAAAGGAATTAAGATTATCCTGTACATATTATCAGACCATAGTGCAATGAAATTGGAAATCAATGGCAAAAGAAACCAGAAGAACTTCATAGACATATAGAAATTAAATAGTATCTTCCTGAACAGAATACTGCTGCCATAAGTTCAGGAACTATTCTAACAAATTATGAAGATGTTATGAGTTGCTGAAGATATTCTGTTTAGGCTAATTTCTTTTGCAAATGTGGTGTTGGGCATCAAACTCAGGGCCTTGAGTATGATAAGTATATGCAATACATTGAGCTACATTCCCAATCCAAGAATGTTCTACTTCTATCTTAAGTGCTAGTTACATAGATGGATTTGCTTTATACAACTCATTATGCTCCATAATTATGTACTTTTCTGTACTAACTTTTTTTATTTTTTATTTTTTTGCAGAACCAGGGATTGAATGTACTAATGTTTTTTACAAAGTAAAATATTAAGTAAATAATAAAATATATATTTTTTACTTTTTAAAATAAAATAATAAACTGCAAAGTCAAGGAAAAGCTGAGAACAGGCCCTGAAGAATAGGGAGAACTAGGTATGTTTAAAAGAGCTTTCTGAGCAAGTAGAAGTGGCATATGAGCCAGGACTAGAGATAAAGGCAGGATCCATATCAGCAAGATCTTATTGGTAATTACCCAGTAGCTTAGATTTTTTAGGCAGTGTAGGAACTTGTTGGTGTCCCAGTGGTCCCCAGGAGAAAACAGCAGGAGGATTTAGAAAATAAAGACAAGAGATAATAGCTGAGGTCAGACAGAGGCCTGTTTGCCTGATTGGAAAAGGACCCAACAACAACAATAGGGATTTTATTTATACCTTTGCAAAATTAGTATCAGGAGACATAAGGTTGTATACCGAATCATAACTGAAATTGTCCAGGCAGGATGCTTTTCTTAAGACTGAAGTAGCTTGACTGTTTTAGGCACTATGGCCTTGTCTTGCCCTCACAAACATGACCAGCTTCCAGATTCAGCCACTCCCAACAAGGTAGCAGCAGACAAGACCAAATATCACTTCAGGTGCATAATAAATTAGAGAGTGCTGGGGCATAATGGGGAACCACTAGATTATGTGGTTGCCTAAGAAAGAGGTGATTCTGGACCAGAGTACAAACATTAGAATAGGACATTTGGAAGAGATTATTATGAACTCGCCTCAATTGGCCAAAGGTCATCAGGGAGATAGGAAAAGGATCATGTATTTGTCTTGAGATGGACTATCTGGCTTTACTTTGATGTCTGCAAACTATTTCATTTGCTTAATATCCTTTATTTATTTACTTATACCAGAGATCAAACTCAGGACTTTGTCCTTTCTAGGCAGGCGTTTAAGCTGCTGAGCTATCCTCTCAGCCCAATATCTTAGGCCAATTTTTGCTATTACATTCTTTCATAACAATACATACTAAGAGTTTCATTATTGGATCATTTATATAGTTTTCCTTGTCTTTGCAATAATCATTAGTTATCCTCATTTTAACACATGAGGCATAGAAGGCTCAGAGCTTAAGCAGTTGTCTTAGGACATAAAAGTAGGTCTTCATATTTGTTGACATGCCATTCCTCTCTTCTCAACATATTTCATCCTATCTTTCTTCTGTCTCAAACTTTCCCTTTTCAGTCATTGTCATTCTTTTTTAAATCAGCCTTATTAAGTTCAAAAAAAAGTTATTTTCAAGGGATTCCCAATTCACATCATGCTTTATACATAGATTTACCTACCATTCCTCAGTTTTTATTCAGCATTTTAAGACTTGCTGCAAAAACTGCTTCCCTAATGTGAATTTGCCAACAGTTCACTTGTGCACAGAAAGATGAATACATTTCAACAATTACTTCTCAGTATTCCTTTGATGTAAATCTAACAATTATATACAAATTTCAAAGCATAGAGTATGATGCTCTGTGTATGTGCATGTTTCTATACATGTATATATGCTTAGAATGCTGTATAATACAGATGGCTCCAAACCATGTGTATTCTTTGATATTTGAAGTGATTCTAGCCCACACCATAATTTGACAATCATAGAGTTCATCTACTTCTGTAACCATCTGCTCAGCTTATATTATCTCTCCTTAATGTCTGTGCTTTTCTTGTCAGTTTTATAAATTATTTAACCATACTTGAGACCTGTATAAGCATGTCCTTTCCCAGACATTAAGTTTAATCCTCCCATTTCTTTTTCAAAAATGTTACTTGTCTAGAATAGGAAAAAATGAATATTTTCTTTCAGATATGGAATCAGTGTATGAAACCAAAATATTATCTATAAAGAAGAGACATTTCAGTCATAATATTTATGTCTGAAGACATGACCACTTTTATTCAGCTTACATTTCTTACTTCACATCAAAAACCTATTAATGAAGAGAAACCTTGTGAATGTAAGATATGTGGGAAGACCTTTGATCAGAGCATAGAGTTTATTCAACATCAGAATTCATTCTGGTAAAAAAAAAAAAACAAAACTATGAATGTAAGGAGTGTGGGAAATCCTTTAGTCATGGTTCACTTGTTACTCAACATTGGAAGATTCATACTGATGAAAAGCCATATAAGTGTAAGGAATGTGGCAATGCTTTTATGTGTAGTTCGTAACTCCTGATGTAGTTCATTTTCTCAACACCAAAGGATTCACACTGGTGAGAAGCCCTATGAATGTAAAGAATGTGGAAAAGCTTTTAATATTTTTCAAACCTTAATGATCATCAGAGAATTCATATTGGTGAGAAGCCATATGAATGTAAAGTATGTGGAAAAGTCTTTACTAAAAGTTCACAACTTTTTCCACATCTCAGAATTCATACTGGTGAAAAGCCTTATCAATGTAAAGAATGTGGAAAAGCTTTTACTCAACACACAAGGCTTATTCAGCATCATAGAACGTATACTGGTGAAAAACCTTAGGAATTTAAGGAATGTGGGAAGGCTTTCAGTAGTGCCTCAACACTTACTAATCATCACAGAATTCACACTGGTGAGAAATTCTATGAATGTAAAGAGTGTGGAAAGGCCTTTATTCAGAGCTCAGAACTTATTCAACATAAGAGAATCCATACAGATGAAAAACCATATGAATGTAATAAGTGTGGGAAGGCCTTTAATAAAAGCTCAAACCTTACTTGGCATCAGAGAATTCACAAGGATGAGAAACCTTATGACTGTCAGGACTGTGGAAAGGCCTTTGCTAGTCATTCAGACATCATTCATCATGAAGGAATTCATATTAGATAAATGAAGTAAGCTAAGGCCCTTTTGTTACTAATTTTCATATTTTTAAAAACAGGTAATAAAAACAAACCAGGAAATACAAGTTCAACTTGGTAACTTAAAACAATAGAAATTTATTTTCTCACAGTTTTGGAGTCTAAAAAACCAAAATCAAAGTTGTTGGCATGTTGGTTCCTTATGAGAACTCTGAGAGATAATCTCTTTTATGCCTTTCCCCTGACTTTGGAGGACTCTAGTCATCCTCAGCACTCATTGTCTCATATGTATAGCAGTATTCCCTTCTCCTTCTTCAACTTTGCATTGCATTTTCTGTGTCTTTTTAAAAAACAAAACAAATAGGGTTTCACTATGCAGTTCAGGCTGGCCTTGAGCTCACTTTGTAGCCCAGGCTGGTCTCAAATTTGCAACAATCCTGCCTCAGCCTCCCAAGTGCTGCGATTTTAGATGTGTCCCATCACCCCTGGCCTCTATGTATCTTCTTTTATATGGGCACTAATGATTTCATCTTAGCTTGATTACATCTGTAATCATCCTATTTCTACATAAAATTTCATTCACTGATACCAGGAGTTATGATTTCACTGTATCTTTTTGGAGGGACACAGTTTGAACATCTAACATCATGTTAACACTTTTATGTAATGTACTTATACTTTTATATTTTTTATATTTTTCACTATTTGGTCCTCTTTTTTTGTTTTTTTTTTTTTAGGGAAGGGCCTACAGGGTGTTCAGGGTCTCACTACTAGATTGGACTCGTAGTGATCCGCTTGTTTACAGCCTCCCAAGAGCTGGGATTACAGGTGCCTGCCACCACACCCAGTCTCAATTGCTGTCTCAGTGTGCCCCGGGGGCAGGGCTGGCACAGCAGTTCTGGCAGGCCCAGGAATTGAACTCCCACCCCTGTGCCTGCTTGCAGGTGCTTTAATCTGCTGAACTATTTGGCCAGCCCGCTATTTGGTCTTAAAGCCAGGGATGTTCTACTATTGAGGTATATTCCTAATCCTTTTTTTTTTTTTTAATGTATTTGGTATAGGATCACACTACACAGCTCAGACTTGTAGTGATCCTCCTGTTTTCAGCCTCCCCAGCCCTGGAATCACAGATGTACGCCACCATGCCCACTCTCAGTGGGCGGGTCATTGTGCCTGGGGGCAGGGCCGACATACCATGTGGTGCCAAGGATCGAAACCAGGTTCCTGCACTTGCCCAAGCAGGTGCTTAGTCCGCTGGGCTATCTTGCCAGCACCCCCCTCCCTTTTTTAAACAAGGTCTCACTGCATTGTCCAGGCTTGACCTGAACTTGCAGTCCTCCTGCTTCTGCCTCTTCAGTAGCTTGCACCATCAAGCCAGGTGTTGGGGTTTTTTTTGTTTGTTTGTTTTTTGGGTTTTTTTTTGCCTCAGTGCTGTGGATTGAGCCCAAGCCATTAAGCATGCTAACAACTGCTCTATCAATGAATTATATAGTCCCAGCCCTATTATAAAATAAAGAGAGAAAAGGGATCATAAAAGATAAAAATTATCTTAATGCTACTGATCAGAGATGACTACTTTAAAATCACAGGAATTCATTTCAGACTGACTGAAGTATAATATCCATGCTGTACCATAATCCAAAATATTTCATGATTACTATTTTAGTAACTATAGATCTTTATTATTATTTTTGTGTTATAATTTTCTTTGGTGTGCTCAACCATCATTTTGTTAAGCAACTACTTATAAGTGTTGCAGTAGATGCTGAAGCTTTTCAGATATGAGAGTTGCCTTCTATTTATTTTTTTATTTTAGGGAAGGGTCTACAGGGTGTCCAGGGTCTCACTACTAGATGAGACTCATAGTGATCTGCCTATTTCCTGCCTCCCAAGAGCTGGGATTATAGGCGTGCACCACGATCCCCAGTCTCAGTTGCTTTCTGAGCACGCCCCAGAGGAGGGGCTGGCATAGCAGGCCCAGGGATCAAACCTCTATTCTGCTTATCTATTTGACCAGCCCTAAGAGTTGCCTTCTAAATGCAACTGTAATGCTCTGCTTTTTCTTTTAAAAATTACATTTCAATGCATAAATAACTAATGAATATTTTCTATAGAAATTCTTGCTAATATCTTTTTCATTCTTTTTTAAAACAGTATTTTGATAGTTTGTAATCACATCAGTTTTTTTTAAGCTTCAATATACTTTTTTTAAAAAAATGTATTTGGTACAGGGTCTCACTATGAAGTTTCGACTCATTGTGATCCTCCTGTTTTCAGCCTCCCCAGTGCTGGGATTACAGGTGTGTGCCACCACACCTGGACTTGGTGGCCGGCCCAGTGTGCCTGGGGGCCAGGCCAGTGCAGCTTGTGGTGCCAAGTATCAAACCACAGTCCCTGTACTTGCCTAAGCAGGTACTCAGTCAATTGAGTTATCTAGCCAGCTCTTAATATACTTATATACATGTATACCAGCAAATGTGTAACAACTTTGTAAATATGTATAGAAAACTTCATATTGTGTTATAACATGTATTCATAAACTAATGTGAGGATGAAATGAATTAAATGTAAAATGTTGGGACTAATATATGGTAAATCTAATGGATGTTGTCTAATATTCACAGCAGTATTTTCATTATTATTTGTGAAAGGACTTTTAAAATGTGTACATCATAGTTCACATCAGAAAATTCATGAATGAGAAAGACAATATGACGCGTGATGTGCTAGTCACCATTGGTGCAGAATTCGTCACTAATGCAGCAAACAGCTGCCTATCTCTTATCCATCAACATGATGCCAGTTATAAGATAATGTCACCCTGTAACATCTTATCAGCAGATGGAAGGGCACATTGGGAGCCAATTATTTTGGAAGACAAGGGACAGCTCAGATTCTGCTTCTTGGTGGGAGAAACCAGAGAAGCACACACCTGTAATCCCAGTACTCTGGGAAACTGAGGCAGGAGGATTTCAAGTTCAAACCAGCCTGAGAAACATAGTGAGACTGTTTTAAAATTAAAAATAAAAAGGATGGGGATGTACCTCAGTATGAAGGCCCTACGTTCAACCCCATAGTGAGAGGGAGGGGAAAAAAGGAGGAATGAAAAAGGCAAGCAGATAGGCCATGGCAAGGGTGTTCCTACCATGAGCAAAAATGACATAAAGGTTTTCATTTTTAGGGTCTGGAAAGATGAACTGTATGAACAAAAAATTTGGGCAAAGGAAGATGAGGGGCAAATAGGCGAGGTGTGGCTTCAAGTAGTGTTTCCTGAATTTTTCAACCATAGGCACTATGTGAGATAATGTTTACTACTGTTTTAGGTGGTTAAATTTTGGGATACCTGGTTATTCAGCAGGCATTTCTGTCTTGGGGCATTTACATTTGCTGTAAATGAAAAACAATACTTTTTTTTTTTTAAAGAAAAAAAAGACAAATTACCATTATTAGATCCCTCTTCCATCAGTAGAAGTCATTTTTTAAGACTTTTCTGGCTACTGTATCTGAAATTTGAGTTCCCTCCTATCTCTAATCCCCTTGTCCTGTTTTTTTGTTTTTTGAGGTTTTTTTGTTTGTTTGTTTTTTGCACCTTGACAATTAATAGTTTCTATTTTCTATCATCTTCCCAGCATCTAAAACAATGCCTGGTTTATTATAGACACTCAGTATGTACTTACATATAAATCAAAGTAGTACTTCTGTTTAATGGAGACATTCCAGCAAGAACATTTGAAATCTGTACTCATAGAGCCTAACATCACATAGGTGACTTACTCAGATGTTCGTTCTAAGATAATTGGCCTACTTATTCATTCCTACTTCCAAATAGTATTTCCCCATGAGGTGGGCAGATGATAGGATAGAATGACCTCTGCCACCTGATTATCGTGGAAAGGGAAATTACAGCCATGTGTAGTTTCTTCTTGAGCCTGGCTCAGCCCTGTCATTTGTTTCTACAACACAACAAGGATAACAAGATGTCATCTGTTATGACATTATGTAAGAGTGTATCTTGCACATTAGCAGCATTCTTTATTTCGAGGAAGTTGCTCTACTGTGAACCGTACAGTGGAGAGGCCTCATATGGCAAGGAACTGAGTGAGAGTGGCCTCTGGTAGACAGCAATAAGTTGAGACCTTCAGCTCAACACACCACAAAAAACATACTTCCTGCAACCATGTTATCTTAGAAGCAGACCCTTCCTTAGTTGAGGATCAGATGAGACCACTGTTCTTGCCTTCATCTTGACTGTAGCTTTGAGAGATCCTGAACATGAGGACCCTGCTAAGCCAAACCTGCTCTCCCAACTAAGAAAGTATAGTTCTAAAATGTGTGTTGCTTTATGCTGCTAAGTTTATGACAAAGTTAAGTAGCACTAAAGAATTTTTTAAAACCCAGGTTATTTCTATTAGTAACTTTGTCTTTGCTGGGACAAAGGACCTAACATACATAAAGGAGAAAATGTTTTATTTGGTTCATGGTTTTACAGGTTTTGGTTCATGGTTTTAGAGATTTCAGCTCATAGTTCTGAGTCTAAATTAAAGTACATATGGCAAAAGGGCACAGTGGAGCAAACTTGTACACTTTGTGGCAGCTGGGAAGCAGACCACAGACGAAAGCACCAATGAGATGTACCTCCAAAAGCATGCCCCTAGTGACTCACCTTTCACTGGGCCCCAGCTCCTGAAAACATTCAGCTATGAACATTAGCAGATTAGCCTACTGGTGAGTAAAAGGCCCCCATGACCTGGTCACCTGTTTGACAGTCTCTTAGTCATGCTGACATTTGAGATTAAATGGTATAGTTAATAAAGCTAAAGACCAGTGTCATAATTTAGTGTTTCTCACTGTCTTTTTTTTTATGGAGAGATGCTTTGTTTTGGGGCTGATTAGGGGTGATAAGGGTTGTAAACCAGATCTGACCATCCTTGGCTGACTGTAAGTTATTGGGGATGCCTGAATTATCTTTCAGAATTAAATAATTTCTGGTGTTATAAACTGCTAATAGGTATTTTGGAAATTGCAAAG